GCTTGAACCCCGAACCCAATACCGTGTCACTCGTGACGCACCCTACAGTTCATACGCGACAAGACCCATATTTTCATCGCGATTCTTTGCCTTCAATTCTAATTAGAATCTTCACAATCGAAGAGCGTCGAATACAAAACGCGTCTAACTTTTCAATTTTCTTTATTCGACCCGCGCTGCGGCAGTGATTATTCACTCGTGCATGACGCACCTGGAAAATTGTAGATTAAAGGTTAACATTGTAGCTGTGACGCAGGTGAAAAGATTAATAATAATTCGAATACGTCGAAGCAATACACTGTAAGTTTTGAAGGACGAAACTTTTTGGCCAACCAAATACACCGAAAGGTTCGATAAATGTGGCTCCAGAATGTTCGGGCTCTCGCAAACGAAGGAACACTCTAGGTTTCTTTAATCGTTGGACTCGTTACGAAATGGCCAAGTGTAAAATGCTTATTAAATAACAAGAAACATTTGTTCCAGGTCGCAGACAACGAAAGGGTTAAGCGTAAATTAGGTTCCGTCAGGATCTGTTTTCAATAGTCGTCGTATCGAAACACCTTTCGTTCTCTGTCGCGCTCACGCTTTCTCATTTATACTCTCTCTCGCACACGCATACGTTCGTCGCGCTATTAACATTGACTACGTACTTATATATTTCCGTGTACATGAAAATCGGGCGTGAACAACTCGGTGCCCTCGGGCTATCGTTTCAAGATTTCACGTTTATAAACATATTGTGTCTCTCAGCGATTTGCAACTTTAGATATTTGTTTCGATTTCAAGATTTTGGGATTCGAGGATTTGGAGATTCTGGAGAATTCTAGGGACTTCGGTGTTTGAGGATTTCATCATTTTTGGGATTTGAGGATTTACAGTTTTTTGAGGGTGTTGGGAATTTTCAAGGTTTGGAAGCATGAGGAAATTTAGGACCACGGTCAGAATTTAGGATTTTCAGATTTTTAATATATGTAGATTTTGATTTGAATTTGATATGAAGATTTGGAAATTCGAAACACAAAAAAATTGAAAGCATAAAAATTTTGCCGTGATCAGTGAACCGACTGTGCCGAACCGACTATGCCGAAATTGTCCGTGAGTTGCCCACGCCGGATGTAGTTAGTAACATATTTATCTAAGACATTTCACTAAGCAAACGCTTCCCATACGTGTGCTGAGTCACGGTGGAGGAAAGTACTTGAGTTTGTATGTTTAAGGGTCGTTACAGGCATCGTTGCGGTTTACGTCGTTGATGATCATTCGCGCCCTTGGATCACATGGAGCAATTGCACCCACGCCTCCGTTAACGCTGGAACAACCTCTGCCGATTATATACATACCTCCAAAACGATAATAATAAATAAATAGAAGCGAAAACGATAAACTTATTCTTCGAATAGCCTAGGGATACTCTAGGGAAATCCTTTGGAAAGGGATCTGGGATTTCCTTTGGAAATCTTTTCGAAGGGTTAAGTCTAAAAGCCTAGGGACATTTAGGGGACCCTAGAAAAAATAAGGGAAAAATTGACACATGGAAAAGTTTACGTGAGTTCAGAAAAAGTTTAGAGAAATTAAGAGAGGTTGGAGTGAAGAGTATAGGGAATTTTGTGGAACTACGCAAAGAAATTGACAATCTAAGGACATGTAACCTAGGGAGAGATTAAAAGTCAAGAAAGTATTTACAGCAATTTGGTAAGGATCTGGATTAGATAAAGCTTAAGAGTATAGGGTAAATCTAGGGAAATGTAGAAAAGCCTATGAAACTTAACCTATGACTCGAACAAAGATTCAAGCATCTCGCGTATGCGCGAGTGTTAATAAAGCGCTTACGTGTAATTTTAAGAGAAGAAACCATAAGTCCGCCATTTTGGCTCGGTTGTTCCGGCGTTACACTTCGACGCGATCGAATTGTCCCTAGCTGGTAACACGTTCATCCTCGTTTCACGATCCAAAATTCTACGTTCAGTGGACGGATATACGAGCTAAAATTTCGCGTAGTTCTCGTCTGATTTAGTCTGCAGAGCATTCGAAACGTTTCTTTTTTGAGAAGGACGCTTTCCCCGTTCACTCGTCGCCGAAAGAAGCTCAATTTCGTTGGTTCTCAACGAAGGAACGCGCGAAACGGAGGCGGCCATCTTCGCGGCCGTAACCTCGAATATCAATCAGTTGAACGAAGCTTCCCGTCATCTTCACGATATTCTATAAAAAATTTGTGTTACGGCGTTAAGAGACTTCGTCACGCGTTCCAATAAACGAGAACGTAGAAAATTATAGTTCTACCCGCCGGTGTTCGTTATCTCCACGTCGGACTATCACAAGCTCGATAAATCCCCGCGTTCCTCCCTCTGATAGTCACTGTTCCTCAGTCACACACTCCCCCCTAAACTAACACCGTCCCGTAATTACTTTATGAACACTTACAATCAGCATCGTATGCTCGTCTTTCGTTCCTTGTTTCGAGGAAAAGGAAACATCAGATGAAACCGAGACGACGACTGACGGTCTCGTGTGTACGTATTGCACTTGGTAAATGGCAGTTTTCGTGTATAACACGTAGCGTGTATAGAGACGCGGATATAGCGTGGTCGTAAATTTCGGTGATCTGAATATTTCATTTATATTTCATGGAGTCGATTTTGGAAAATTTTGCAAATCATAGTTGATCTATATGCTCTGTTGCAATACTTAAAAAATCTTGCACTTATGGGTTCACAGAAATGACTTCAACATAATCAACTATTTTTATTGGTTTGTAATTGTAAACTGATAAGTATTAATTTGTAGATCACTGAGATTTGCAACCAGATCATATCTCTGTTCACTATACTCGAACGGAGAGCTCGCGATAATAATTACAATTGTCAAATCATTTCCAGAAGTTATTTAACGAATATTATTGTCGTCGCTTTTATCTCTTAAAATATTTCCGTAAAATGGTTTATGCTTGAATCTGACGTTTGAATTTGCCGCGCTTTGAACCTGAAACAACATGGCGGGAGACTTGACGTTTATTTACATACCGCACAATGCTTGCTACTTGGACTAGCAACTGTGTTTCAAATTATTCTGTTGATAAAGTATACTTAGTGCACAAGAACGGAACAGAAAATTTAATTATAAAACTCGTGATTTTTAAAATTAGCTCCAAAAAGTGTCAACATAACCTATTAATGTTTGAACTTAAGAGAAGTTTAAGAGAAGCAAATAAAGAAAACTATATGACACGTTGCTTTCCGTTCGATATCCCGCTACCCGATAAATGAACGAGAAGTTAAGACGATCTAAATAAGCAACCTTACGATAGAAGCAACCGGCCAGTCGTCGTTGGCATTTCACCAGACTCGTAGTTCCATAACCGACGTGCTTCACCGTCGAACGGGGACTGCAATCGGTTTCATTCGTACAATTGGATTACCTTAGACCTAATCATATTTGTCGATAAAATTGACTTTTTCCCACGTTTATGCTACTCGTGGCCACTGCTCAGTCTGGAACAGCTTCATTCCATTATTGATCCTTGTCAATTTTTATAAAAAATGATGCTGTTATGTGTCGAACTCAGATATTTAGGGGATTTGGGGAATTTTAGGATTTGGAGATTTGTGGATTTTGGAATTTGGAATTCGGGGAGTTTAGGAATTTAGGGAATTTGGGGTTTGGGGAGATTGGAACTTGGGGAATTTGGGATTTGAGGAATTTGGGACTTGGAGAGTTTGTAACTTGGGAAATTTGGGATTTGGGGAATTTGGGACTTGGAGAATTTGGGATTTGGAGAGTTTGGGATTTGGGGAATTTGGAACTTGGGGAATTTGGGACTTGGGGAGTTTGGGACCTGGGAAATTTGGAACTTAGGGAATTTGGAACTTCGAGAGTTTGGGACCTGGAGAATTTGGGGCTTGGGGAGATTGGAACTTGGGGAATTTGGGACCTGGGAAATTTGGAATTTAGGGAATTTGGGATTTGGGGAGTTTGGGACCTGGAAAATTTGGGGCTTGGGGAGATTGGAACTTGGGAAATTTGGAAAATGTGAAGAATTATGGGATTTGATGATTTGGGGAATTTTTAAATCTGGGAACTTAGGGAATTTGTTTCAGATTTGAATACTTCGACATTTGTAAAATATACTATGAAATCTTGAAAAACTTAAAAATGTTCAAATTTGACAATTCTAAAATTAAAAAATTTGGAAGTTTGAAATTGTAAAAATTCCCTAATCCTAAAATATCAGACTTTGGATCCCAAATTTGAAAATTGATATAAATTGCCAAGGACCACGATTGAGAACCACTGAACCACCCTCAAAGGTGTTGATTCGCAGTGACCAATAACCGACAGTTATCCTTCATCATCGTTCGATCGTCGACCGATCGTTAAGGTCTATTAAATTCGCCTAATCTCTTCGATGGTAAAAGACACTTCGTCTCGAACTCGCGCATTTCTCTCGAAAATGCTCAAGAAATCGTCGCGAAACTCAGGAGAATCTTCGTCATTGGGGATTTTCTAATTTTTCTAATAAAAATTTTTTATTCGACGCGAGTTTGCGACACAGTAGAAGTTCCGCTTATAGTTCTCCGACCGATACAGCGAGGTTGTAAATTGAACCCTAGTTAAGCGACGCCTAAACTTTCAAGCATCGATTTTGCGTAAACCTTTCTGGCGTCTTAATTTTTTGATTTGGGTTTTGAAGAATTTACGATCCCGCTATATCGGGGAGGCTATAACTAAATTAGCACATCGATCTAACACGGTGATGGGCAAGCCCGCCAATAAGCTCATGGGCAGCACTGTGCAGGAATCCTAATTATTTCCAATTTTCTAAATTTCCAAATTTTCCTACTTACAAATTTTCCAAATTGAACTTTCAAACTTCTAAATTTCCAAACTGGATAATTTGGCAAATTTAAATTGTCAAATTTTCGAAAACGTTAAAAACTACAAATTTACAAATGTTCCTATTAAAAAATTTTCAAATCCTTTCCAAATCTTTAAACGTTCAAACATTTTGTAAGTTAAAAATTCGGAAAATGTTGGATTTGAAAATATCGAATATCGAAAACTTGATAATTTAAAGGAGAAGAACATTGGAAATTTGCCCTGGGCAGCTCGGTTGCCCACCGCCGACCTAAGGTGTACCGCCAACAGGAAACGCAAGAGAACAAGAAAGAAACGTTCACCTATCGAAAAGCACCAACGTGTCGCCTACGTTCACGAAACGACGCGACGATTTGAAAAGAAGCCACGCAGAATGAGCATTTCGTCATCACGTCAACTGCGGCTTAACCATGTGACTAAAACTTCTTCCATTTCCAAGTCTACCTCTAGCAGCTTGCTTACGTTAAATTGTACCTAAGCTTATCCTATACATAACCTATGTACTCGTTTTATCTATATATTATTATACACATAATCATTTATATATATGTATGTACATCTGTATACATACATACACATATATACGCAATATTTCTTCTTTGTATACTATACATAACATTAGCGAACGTACAATATTCTATAGAATATACTAAATATTTCTTATCCATATATAATATCATATACATGTATGATACACGCTATACATACGCAGTTATATATTTAATATCATACATGTATACCGTAACAGAACTTGCAGCGACATTCGCGAACAATTTCTCTTCGTAAATATTTCTAGTTACATATACAGTATAATAGTGTATATCCTTCGCATATCTATGTGTCTGTGTACGTGTCCGTGTATGTGTGTGTGCCTGTGAATACATATATTCATTTATTTATAATATATTTATATCTATATTTATTTATATATGTATAGTGTGCGCCGAGAAGCACATGAGGTTACTTTTATAGAGAACAGAGATCGTGTACGCACGACGAAACATTTGTCGGCGAGTCATCGTCCTTTCATCGGCCCATGCGCGGTCCGCCATTTTCCGCGTCGCGCGCATGCGCGATCCACGGCGCATGCGCAGTCACGCTACCGCACAAACGTACTCCGCGTTATTTCTTCAAAATAAATGGCCGAGAGGGAGGCATGAGCTCGTGGGGAAAAGAAACGAAGTGGACTCCGCCGTTGGACCACGCCTGAGCATTTGCGATTGTCACAAGAACAAAAAACGAGCAGGAACTTTCCGTTTTTTGTTGTATAGTCCTTACAAGCGCCTCCGTACCAAATGTCAACGAATTCACGGACACTTCTAAACGTAAAATAAATAATTCTAACGGTTAGTCGAGTACCCTTGTACCGAGGGAACTCCGAAAATGCGACAAAATCAACTCGCGGACTTTTATATAGAAGCATGATCTCGAATGTCCAATTTCAGCGTTTGAACAGATTGAGATCTCACTGAGGTTTTGCATCTGTTCAACGAAACAATGGCTGACCGTGAAACGTTAAGATCATGGTGCCTGGCCCCACGGTTGCACGTAGATCGGCATTGAAGTACGTTTGGTGGTACGGTACGTATCGTGGTCGTGGTCCGGTATAATTATTCCTACACCTTATCACAAGTACTCGACGATCCCGCTCGTCCTCGACCCATGGGACACCTGCAACATAACAAAATGCAATATCAATCTTTGTTACTTCGTTTCTTTGTTCATGATTGACATCTTGTGGGAAAAAATTTAAATTCATTTTTCATTCTAACAATTGATTATGATTGACCACAGTTATAAGGGTCTCGGGGACTTAAAATAGAAAGGTTACTAATGTGTTCGTATTTCGTGCACATCCAGATATTTTGGACTGAAGTGGACACATAATTAGATACAGTGAAAATTGATTAGAAGTACCACTTGAATAAATATAGCAGGTTAATATTTTCCACGAAAGTGATGCGATTTGGAAAGATAAACGATGCACACGGAAATATCTGCCACTTGAAAATAAACTGGGAGTTAAAAGCGATAAAATGTTACTTTCTGAAAAATTTCTGGCTAATTGCATCGATCGGTCAAAACTTCTATGAAAGATTTCCATGAAAAAATTACTAAAACTAGTAGTCAGAATTTAAGCACTAAAGCTCGAAAGAATAAAAGATTGTAAAAGTTGAAGAATTTATAAAATTGAGATCTCGCAATTGGTAAATGTAAAAATTTGACTAGGAACGAGTAAAAGAATTAACCCGAAATGCAAATCGAGGTGAATGAAACATAACTGAAAATTCGATGCATTCGTAAAAAGTCGCCATCTTGTTAAATTATTAAAATTTTCCTTGTCAAATACCACTTCCGCAAGATCAAAGTTCATCTTCAGATTCACTGATCACGAAGAAACGGGAGTCATTTTGGTAAATCAATCCAAAGAACGGAAACGCTATGTTCATTTTTAAAAAGAACCGATGGGGAGATCGATCGCCATCATGAAAATGCATCACCTCTCGTAACAGTTAATTCAATTCCGGTATCAATGTTTAAATAGTTGCTCGGTCATTATCCATTCATTCCTTGAATTATAACGTCGCGTCTAACATTGTCACACAAAAAGGGTAAATTAAATTGAATCACGTTTTAGTCGCGGATTTTAATCATGACCGACGGAATCCGGGATTTTTTATTCATGCCAAACTACGTTTATATAGCTCACGTATTTCTAGATGACAGATGTACATACAGTATGTATGTATTTATGCATAGCTGCTTGATAATTCCCTGCTTTCGGGGCTGTAGCTGTTTGTATAAATTTTAACTTCCATAAGTCTCACATCATCAAACTTCAAACTTGTACATTTTTCTAGTTTTTAAATAGGTACAGTATGTATGTATAGCTGCTTGATAATTTCCTGCTTTTGGGGCTGTAGCTGTTTGTACAAATTTTAACTTCCATAAGTCTCACATCATCAAACTTCAAACTTGTACATTTTTCTAATTCTTTAAATACATACAGTATGTATGTACAGGTGCTTGATAATTCCCTGCTTTTGGGGCTGTAGCTGTTTGTATAAATTTTAACTTCCATAACTCTCAAATTATTAAACTTGAAATTTGTACATTTTTCAAATTCTTCAAACACCAAATTTCAAGATTTAAAAATTCCCTAGGCCTAACATTCCCTAGATGTTCCATACTCACAGTACTATGCATACAATTACGAATATAATTTATGTAAATATATAATCTCACGAAACGACTAAAAAGAAACTAAGGAAAGAATCCCATGAATATTCCCTAGCGCCCTCCGCACTTGAATCGGTCAACGTTTGCCGAGTATCGGTTAACAGCGCAACTGTCCGCAAAAAGAAGAGCGAAAAGTTGTCCGAACTCTCGTAATGGTAGGATCAACGAGTCGTTGTTTAGCGAGGAGTTAACGGACGCGCGGGGCTCGGTGCAGGACACAAAGAACGAGAGCCGCGGTCCCGTTGCCTTTGTCTTTGTCGGTCGGTGATTTACATGGCACACCGGAGGCTGTTGTCGCAGTGGCTTTTACGGGCGCGGCGCAAACCGCCCCGTTACGCCGTCTCCGCGGGGCGGGCTCCGGGAATTGGGTTTCCCGTTGGCGCGTCATTACTTTGTTTATGAGTCGGGAAACGCGGCGAGACAGCGGAGAAAAAGTGTCCACGGGACGGCAACGGCCAATATTTACCGGTCAAACGATCCCCTGTACATACCGACGGGTTACACGACATTTTTCCCGAGGGACCAGGAATTTCGCGCGGCCGCCTGATCCACTTTGCTGTTGTACGACGACCAATCGCCGCTTTGGCAGATTACCAATGCGTAGCCTCGAATTTTTGTTTCTACGTCTTATGGCACTCTGTACACGAGATGACTCTCTGTAAATCTTACCTATGGTGAGAACACCTCGCTGGAGCGATGACAGAAGTATAGCTACTTGATTTATAGGGATTTTTAAGGAAATGTGATTGGCCGAGTAACTTGGGGATCTTGGAGTTTGGGTGTCGATTAGGGTGTCTAGGGATTTGGAGGTTAGAGACTTAGGGTAGTAGTGCTTTGGGTGACTTATATTTGATCAAACGCACCCATCGAGTGCAGCCTTACACATCGACGATCATGCAATGGCGGCAATATAACGAGAGCCTACTGTACTATTGTTGTTTCAGGAGAGCCGACGAAAATTACGTGATACCTGCTTCCGGTGACTTACATTTGATCAAATGCACCTATCGAATGCAGCCTTACACATCGACGATAATGCAATGGCGGCAATATAACGAGAGCCTACTGTACTATTGCTGTTTCATGAGAGCCGATGAAAATTACGTGATACCTGCTTCCGGTGACTTACATTTGATCAAATGCACCTATCGAATGCAGCCTTACACATCGACGATAATGCAATGGCGGCAATATAACGAGAGCCTACTGTACTATTGTTGTTTCACGAGAGCCGATGAAAATTACGTGATACCTGCTGAGTGCTCTCGGAATTCGCCCAGCAGGTGAATGGTAAAGGACTGGATTGCGTGATCAGATGCATTATGAACGAATACTCCTGTTTCTCCTATTACCTCCTTTCCTCGCAGCATAATGCTATGTTAAACAGCCATTTCAAACCTCTCGTTCCTACGTCTCACAAATTATTCAGACATTTATATTTTATCTTCTATCGCAAACTTAATTAGCTGATTGTTTTAAACATTTTCTGGTTGGCAGTGACGGATTGATCTGGGACACGTTTCTGGTGACATTTTTATTTGGGAAACGTTTCCATACTGAAATCGGTACGATCAATTAACCGGTAGATTCAACATAATCATTTCACCAGTAAAATCAGTATAAACAACTATATCAAGAATCAATACAATCAATCAACTGATACAACTTAAACTCTTGTATGGATTAGTGTAGTCAACGAGGTAACATGTTCTTAGGGATTTCACTTTTAAATTATGGCGGGAAAAATGACGAAAAAATGGCTAACTAGCAGACATAACCTGCAAATGTTGCTCAAGACTGACTGGTACGAAAAAGAATGACAATTTGACAAAAAGCTAAACGTAGGAGAGAAATTTTGAAGAGGCTGTAAAAATTGGTACAGTCCGACTCAGATACGAAGACAAAGGTAAAAAGAAGAACGGCGATGGGTCCTCTGGTAGCACTTCGCGCGGCTAGTCATTCATACATGTACAAAAGCTCGCCACTCCTCGGATGAAAGATCGGGCGTCAATGGTAAAACGTGCTTCCCCCGACTTGCTAATGGATTCCGCACTCCGATTTCACCTTTTTTTTCTATTCTGTAGCTCACTTAAATCCACGTACTTTTCCCGCCTTTATCCAGGTACTTGCCACTCTCGCGAAAAGTTGTACATAATTGAAGCATTCCTGGTGAGCCCCTCCAGTTTTCGCCATTTGAGTGTACATATTATATTACAGCATCCAGCTAATTTCGAATTGAAGTCATTCCTTTTTGACTCGCAGTGAAAATCGTTTTGTTCCACTTAGGGATGTGGAAGGTCTGGGGAATTTTTTGATGTGGGGAATTTAAGGGTAGGGGACATTTGGGGAGTTTAGGGATGTGGGTCATGTGGGGAATTAGGGAATTTGAAAGGTAGGAGACGTAGGGATTTAGGGATACAGGGATTTAGGGAGACAGGGATTTAGGGAGACAGGGATTTAGGGATACAGGGATTTAGAGATACAGGAATTTAGGGATACAGGGATTTAGAGATACAGGGAGTTAGGGATACAGGGACTTAGGGATACAGGGACTTAGCGATACAGGAATTTAGAGATACAGGGACTTAGGGATATAGGGATTTAGAGATACGGGGACTTAGGGACACAGGGATTTAGAGATACAAGGATTTAAAGATGCAGGGATTTAGGGATACAGGGATTTAGGGATACAGGGACTTAGGGGTACAGAGATTTAGGTGTACGAGGATTTACGAATACAAGGATTTAACGATACAGAGATTTAAAGGTATGGACTTAAGGATATAAGAATTCAGGGATACAGGGATTTAGGTGTACAGGAATTTATCTATACAGGGATTTAGAGGTATCAGTTCAGGAATATGATGATACACGAATAGTTTTCAGGGATTTGGGGATTAGCAAACTTTCGCAATTAGCTCATAAATTCCCCAATGTAAAAAGCTTAAAAGCCAAACAATTTAAAAACGAAAAATATCCACGAACCCAAAAATGTCACAACCGATTTCTCGATAAGTAATAGTTGATCCCCAAACGGAGTACAGTGCCGTACCAACCCTACATTCGGGGGGTGTAGAGGGTCGGGGGTGTTCGACCGGCGGGACACAGTGTAATCCAGTCGTTTCGTAATGTTCCAGCACGGAGTTATTAAGCTGGCACGAACGGGCGCGTCCAATACCGGGAGAGCGGTAGAATTTAATTTAAAAAATAGGTTTGTCGGTGGCAGCGTCGCATAGAGTGCACAGTTTTTTATATTTTTAATTTCCCCGACGGAGGATGTCGTTTCTATCTGTCACTGACATATCGCGCGTCCCCTACCATTCTCCTCTAAAACGAACATAAAAAAACGACAGAGCGAGAGAGAGAAAGCGCACATCGGAGCTGTTCTGTCGATGTATGATCTGACCGCTGATATATGACGGTAACGTGAG